AGCTCCTTAATCCAACATCTGGCACTGAACCACAGTGTTCAATTGTCTTAGCTCACTTTCCTGTTTCTGAAGCTGAATACCCCAGACTGGGTAATTTACAAAGAACAAGAAGTTTATTTAGCTCACATTTCTGGAAGCTGGGAAGTCCAGCATGGTGCTGGCATCTGCTCATCTCTGGAAGCCTGAACTTTAAGCAGTTTCCTAAAGGCAAGTAGGGACCTGATCATTCCCCATAGTACCTGGCTGTGTTCTTTCAGACTCTCCCTCTTAGGGTTGGGGAGATAATAAACACTTGCTGGGTCATAACATGGCAAAGAGAATTTCCCTGGCAGGATAGAGAATAAGAAAGCCAGAGAGTGCTTGCTTTTGTAAGAAAGCCACTCCCACAATAACCTTTTGACCCATGAGTGGAATCGTCCATTCATAAAGGCAAAATCCTGCACCTTCTAAAATCTCTACCTCCCAGAAAACTTTAACGTGTGTCTTTGGAGATTAAGTTTCCAACACATGAAATTCAAGAGACACATTCAAACCATTCCAATAATGGAGGTCAAAGCTTTAAGTTCATGGGCTGTGGTCATGGCTCATTGGTAGAATCCTTGCCTCACATGTGTAAGGCACGGGGTTCGATTCTCAACGCTGCATATAAATAAATGAATAAAATAAAGGTCCAATAACAAAGAAAATATAACTTAAAAAAAAAAAAGCTTTAAATTCAGATGACCAGATTGAAATCCCGACTGAACTCAGCTTCTTCTAGTTCTGTTACCTTGGACAAGTGATTTACCCTCTTTGACAAATTAAGAACAATAATACCTATCTTAAAAGACTGTAGTGAGAAATAAATGAGTTGATTTATGAAAAAATGCTTAATATAGTCATTTACTAGACCCATAGTCACTTCTCTATAACTACTGTATTAGCTATTAGCACTGTTATTCCAGCACACGGGTAAAGAGGGAGGGAAACCAGCCACAAAGAGGAGCCCTAAGTCATAGAAGGCGGGCGCCATCTGGTGGCCACCAGGCGCAGCAACGGACACAGCCAAAGGAAACAGACTTTATGTTTAAATGTAATATTCCCAAGTAAGACCCGAGGGCCCCTCAAAGTCGTATCTGGAGGTTGATATAGGAGTAAACGCAGGAGAGGGAGAAAAGCAAAGCATAAGTAGCTTTCTAAAGACTCCTCTGCCACCCCTAGTGAAAGGCACACGGCTGATAAACTGTAACTGTCAGGCAATGTCTTGGAGCCCTTGAAGTGTAAAGGACAAAGTTCACAAAGTTCAGAGTCGTTAAGCTTCACCTTAGCTAACGTTATGGTCTTTCTCATCTCCCCCAATGTACAGCTTTATTTCTCATTTCTGCAAAGCAGCGTGGTTCCTGGGAAAGAAGTTCCACCATAGAGCAGCAAGTTTCAGCTGTGCCCTCAAGCTCCTCATCTAGGAAATGGGTCCCTACTGCCTAGTGGGAGGGGTCCCCACTCTGATGTCAGCTAGAGCTGGGCTCCAGTCCTGAGTGCAAACTTTGCTTTTCTAAGTTTCTAATTTCCCTCCTATGTATTAAAATTAGCTGGGAAACCAAGAGACCAAGGCAACTCTGTCTGATTTTTTTTATGTATGCAAACCAAAATCCAAGTCAGCATAAATGGCCAGATCCTAGGAAATGAAAATCTATACCAAGCAGAAACTACGAACCAAGGCAGTTTATCCTCCAACAACGAGGGACTTTACCCATCAGAAATCAACCAATAGCCAACTTTAACCAGGGACCTTAAGACTACTGCTTCCCTGTATGTTAGAGTCTGTAAACAAGTCAGGAGGGCGCCTGGTATTTTGCCAGGGGGAGTGGTTTGTGAGGTGGCGCCAGCGAGCCATTAAGTGTGGAGATTTCTTATTGGTTGACTGCTGTATCTAGTTTATGTTAATTAGATAAGCTGTGTGAAATGTATAAATACCTCTGTTGTCCTACAATAAACGGCTCCCACTCCTGCTGTATCAATGTACGCAAGTTGTTCGTCACCACCACGGTTATTTTGCTGCAGCCGGACTGCGGCACCTGTAACCAAATATTTTCTTTGCCTTATGTCCACACGCATCTTACAAAAGTTTTCCTTTTGTGTCCCTTCAGTGGAGTCCTGAACCACTTGGAGTTTCGTGCTGAATCACGAATCACTGTTTGCTCAAATAAACTCTTCAATATTTTAATGTGATTAAGTGTACCTTCACCATGTCTTTAACACACCACAAACGTAAGAAAAATGACAATTTCAATCTTGGTAAGTGGCTAAGAAAATTATTAGGAACCGCAGTTTATAAACCCCTGGAAGGCACTAAGAATATAACCCTTTGCGTTATTCCTTCCACAGTCTGGTTGTGAGATTTAAATGACATGATGGATGTGGACATTCGTAACATGGTGCTGGGCACACAGTAGAAACTGTAGGTGGGTGTGGAAGGCTGTGCAATGCCCCTCAGGTCCCCAAAGCCTTCAGCAGGGGGTATTGACAAGTCCCCCTATGGTCATCATGATCAACTGAAGACAGAAGACTTGCCCAAGCTCATGTCCCTTACCAGGGTGGCCCACACCCAAAGACTGGTCCATTGTGTGCCTTACAGGCCCAAATCACTTGTCTCATTTGGACTAACTCTGCAGGGTCTTTCCAGGTTCAGAGCTCCCCACGGATGATTGAGGCCTTTTCTCTGAATCACACCCCACATCTCCCTCTGTCCATTCCTGCTGCCTTCACTTCCCCATAGGTGTTGGCCCTGAGAGCAATCACCCATGAATTTCCACATTGCAAATCTCCATGTGCGCTTCCTGGGGAGCTGTCCTGTAATACCAAAGTTAGTTTTTTCTTGTACTTTCCTGAGTCCTGTCTCTTCCTTCCTCACTTGTACATGAGGATATGGAACAATAGTCCTTTTCTCCTCTCAGCTCCCCTGGGCAAGAATAAAGATGACTGGGACAATAGACAAGGAACACCCAACTCCTCAACCTCACATTCCTCTTCCTCTCCTTTACACTGAGATTGATTACTACCATTAATTTGTTTATTGATTTAGGTACTGGGGATTGAACCC